ACCATTCCAAAACAATAACCACCTTCGGTCCATCAGTGGATCCGCTCTGCCATCCGTGATTCACAACAACCAAGCTCTCCTATAAGTTTCCTATTTTTGAAGCTTCCGCCACCGCCTTGTGTGGCACTACTGGTATATGATTCATCAATGCCTCCCGTGCGACCAACACATACAATCTGCCATACTTTTGGCATTCCTCAGCTGCCCTCCTCTGTTCGGGAAATGCCAGGTGGCTCAACTAGTGGCAGAGAAGATTCCAAGGTGCACTGCCGGCCGGGGCTGGGACTGTGATGACTGGGGGTTTGAAGAAAAATAGTTGACAAACATTGCCGAACTTAATTTTAGGATTCTTTCTATCCCATTTCTCTAGAATTTGTTTCAGGGTCAAACTTAGAGATGTTTGGCCACATGCAAGAGATACGGAATGATGCACATGGTTTTGTTTTTCCTGTTGTCTCGCAAGTTTACCTTGATTTCAGACGCTTGACGTGCATTTCGTGCGGAAAGAGTTCTTCTGGCACAAGTCGGGCGCAAAAAATTCGTTTCCGCCCTTAAGTTGACAATTGCATCAACTGTGCGCAAGTGATGATTTGTTCTGAATGTTTTTTTGCTGCGAGGATCTTGGCAGAAAGACTGAAAGAAGGCTGCGATGCGGCGGAAGCTCTCAAGGATCCGGACCTGTGGAAAGTCTGTTGCAGGGGCTGGTGGTTCATTTTTCTTTGTCCAGGAAATGCATGATTGGCAATTGTATGAAGATGCAGTGTAGGTTGATCGTGGTTTTGGGAGTTCCAAGAGTCCAAAGCAATTCTGGGGTATTGCAGATTGCTTCAAGTCTGCAGGAGTCCTTTCATTCAATGGATTCAGAACTCATGGGCTGCGGAACTTTCCACCGCATGGGCAGCACCGCTGTGTGCGCGCTGTACCCTGGCTGGTGATACTGTATTTGGTAATATATTTTGGTGTCTAGACGGGCTGAGAAGTATCGACTAGCACAGCACAGTGCAGCACAGTGCATCACTTGGCAGCTGAGGCTCCTGCGAGAGGGCGAGAAGCTCCGCTTGCTTTGCGCCAACTGTGGCGATTCCCGCGCAGTGCTGTGCCGAAACCGTGCAGCATTACCGTTGTCAAAGGAGCCGTTATTGCTAGAGCGTTATTTTGGGTTCACACATAGAAAAGGATGGCTTCTTGTTCATTGGATTTTCACCATACTGTGCCATGGCCTGCCAAAGAATCACTTGCAACGGCCGATTATTGTTGCACAAATACGAGGTACATAGAGCGAGATCATGATATGAAAGCGAAAGTGAGTACTGAATGAAACAGCATTGAAGGCATGTGTACTGTACATGGTATTCATGTTTGCTGGCATAGCACGAGACTGACAAACGAATACATCAGACAAGGTAACGGAATCGCATCGAGCTATATGGAAGAGATTATTTAGATTTTTAGGTGTTTGGCTGGGAGCTTTTTTTGGAATGTCAACAGTTGTGAGTTGTGGGCAAGTGCAGGACCACAAGCCAAATGACCCCCAGGAGCCTTGGGATCGTGTGAAGTGAGGTGTTCTAGCCAGCAGCTGTGGTGATAACAGACTTTGAATTGACAGCTGTCAAGCCTCATGAAGCCTTGAGCTTCAATCAATTTCACGGTTCGAAGCAGGAACTGCCGCGCATTTTAAGCATTGTAGTCAGTCTGTCGCAGGCTATTAGAGTGACTCGTTGTTACTGCATCTGCTATCTGCTTCCATCTGCTTCCAAAGCTCCAGCTGTCTGTCCATGCAGCTGATGAACTTCAGATGAACTTCAGATGAACTTGCATCTCGCATCATCTCGCATGGGACAGGAGCGGGGCCGAATTGAGAGAGCCGGAGGTCGAGTTGAGCTACACGGTCCCTGCTGGCGGATCGACGGCGGATTGAATTTGTCACGAGCCCTGGGCGATTTCCTCTACAAGGCCCCTAGCTGCCCTAGCTGTGCATTGACGAGGGTACAGAAAACCATCCGACATCAGTTTTTCTACTAACTTATATAACATATTATAACTATACAACTTCTGACAATTCCATCTGTGAAAAAAATTCAGTGGTATCTGCCCACATACCGAAAACACTACCACTGGCGAGGCAAAGAGAGACTTGACAGAGGACCAACAGAAGGCATGGGCTTGCGGTCCGTTTTCTGTTTGAGATTTGCAGTCTCTGCAGTGTCTGCAGTGTCTGCAGTGTCTGCAGTGTCTGCAGTCTTTGGCTTTTCAAATGCATTCAACATCTTTTATCTAGATCCATCGATATCAACCCAACTAAGCACAACTCCAGTTAGTCAAGATGGAGCCAGACCAGATCATGCTGAAACATCCTTGGAACTGATGTGCATGGCCTCTTTTGGCTGTTTGTTTCGATGGTGTTTGTACTTCTATTCTCGGTTTAGGCCAACATCATTGTGAAGCGTAGATCCAGATCCGTTTCAGGTGATTTCTGTGCCCGAAGTGGAAGAGGCCAAGAGATCTGCTGATTTGTGGAAAGTGATTTCAAGCTTCAGACCTGGCAGGCACTGCAATATCAGAATTCAGCTAAGCGCAGCTAGTCCAAAGATTTCCAAAGAGTGTCTTTGACTGAAGAGTTCAGCTACCTCCATGGGGCAAGAATTCCATGAGAACTCCAAGCTGACAAGACTTCGCAAGAGACACGCTTTGCAACGAGTTCAACGAGTTTGTGTGACGCCTTCTACCATCCTCTGCCAGGTGCTTCTAAATGATACTGACCGCTTTTTGGTCATGGCCAGCGACGGCGTCTTTGAGGTGTCTCCATTTTTGCCATTTGAAGTTTGGCTTTGCAATCTCCTCACTGCATTTGATAGTCACTGGTAGTCCCAACTCTTGTGATTTACCAAGCAGCTGGCCGAACATCATTGACGGCGCAGCAAAAAGCCTGGCAGGTTTTTAACTCCGATGAGCTTGTGGAAGAGCTGCTGAAGGAGAAAGTTCAGCTACGACTTTTTGGTTGTAGATATCCAGAGCACCCAGTTCCTTAGTGAGAAAGAAACATATATAATTCTATAATATTCCATATGGTTTCGATTCGTTGGGGCAGAACCCTGTTGCTCAAAGCATTGTTTGCGGCAGTCTCTCAAGCTTGTCTCTCAAGCGGCTGCTCTCTCAGCTTGTCCTTGAAAGCAGCACCACAATTCGCAGACTAGATTTTCCCGAAATTCTAGGCGTTCATCTCCAGGGTCTGGTCGGGGCACTGCTGCAGGAGAAGCGGCGTTTATCTTCTTGGTCGAGCGCTATCGATTCAGTCTTGAAGAGTCTCTGTCAGTGGTAGAGTCCAAAAGGCACAAATGAAAGACACGGAAAGACCCGATGTCGAGTGGCAAGTATAGCATGAGCAAAGTATAAGCAAAGTACGAGGAAAGTCTGAGCAAAGTATAAGCAAGTCCTGTAGCAGAAGTAGACTTAGAGATTTGAAGATTTGCCACAAGGAGCTCTGTATTCCCCGCCCGCCTGAAAATGGGTGGCTTTGGCCTGCTGCAATTCTAAAAAAGTCTGCATCTTGAAAATATCCCAAAGTGATTCAACTGAGTTTGCCTACTCTTGGGCTTGAGAGTGGCCCTGACTGGATATGAACAGGCTCAAGTCCCTTCTATTGGTGGTTTTGCAACATATTCCAATTCGCACTTGATTTATCGCCTTATCCCTCCTTCATCATCGTTCGACATTTTGGGTGCATATGCATGGGAAAATCTTTTGATTTTACATGATTTTACATAATATTGTCATTATTGATTTAATTCTGTGATTCAACTGAGCACAGACATGTACAGGCTCACTCCAGCCAACTGTAACATTGTGGCCCAATATCATCAGGGGCCCCAGTTCATCCCAGACGGCGTCGGAACGCCATGCCAGCTTGTGAGGGCACAAAGGCGCGTTGAAGGTGTCCGCCTCCACTGGATTCACAGTGGTAAGCGGAGCCACGGTCTAAGGTCCAGGGCACATGGCTCAAAGTCACGATGGAGATGAGCAGGGCAACTGGCACGATCCGCCTATGGTTGGAGCGACAACGTCAGGGCAAGCTGCAGCTGCAGGGGTCACTCACACTAGTGGTAACACTGGAAGTGAATCTGTAAATGGGAGTCAGCTGAGGGATAAGGATCCACCACCAACTTACGATGGATCAAACCCAGAAGTTACTTTCAGGCAGTTCGAGAAGAGTGTTAAGTTGTGGCAGTTTGAGACGGACGTTCCTTTGAGGAAGCAGGGTGCCAAGTTGCTCCGAGCTCTCACAGGCTCGGCAAGGCTGGCAGTAGACGACTTGGAGTTTGAGGACATAGCAAATGAAGATGGCATCAAGAACCTCCTCAACCGCTTGAAGGAGTACTACATGCCACACCTCGAGGTGTCTTTACCTCGGGCCTTTGAGAATGCGGTCTATGGCCAGCAGCGTCAGGCGAAGGAATCCTTTGCAGAGTATGTGCATCGACTTGAAAGGGCATTTGCACTTCTCTCTAAGGAAGGCGTTGATCTTCCGAAGGGAGCCACTGGGTACATACTGTACCGACAGGCAGGACTCACAGAAGCACAGGATCAACGAGTTCTGACTTGGTGCGAGGGTCGTTACGACCGGGATTCCATAGTCAAGGCGCTGCGGCGCTTGGACAAGGTCTTGAAGGAGAAGTCCTCGAAGGCCAGCTATGCCACGGAAGGCTATGAGGCTTTTGCGAATGACCAGGTGAACCAGTCTGAGGAGCACCTTGAGGACTCCGACCAAGACTTCGTCTACGTTGCCGAAGGGGACTTGGATGGAATCTATGAAGAAAAAGACATGCTGGAGGCTCTGGCTTCGTACCGTGAAGTTCGACAGGCTCTGAAGGAGCAGAAGACGAACCGAGGTTTCTTTCCCGGAAAGGGATTTGGTGGCTTCAAGGACGGTGGCAAGTCCAAGGGCAAGGCCAGAGTTCACAAGGAGCAGTTGAAGCTGAGGACGCGATGCTGGAAGTGTGGTCAAATTGGCCACATTAGTGCCGAATGTACCAACAAGGTTGTGATCAAAGAGGGCACCAGTCAGGCATCGAGCAGTGGGTCGACCGGCAAGTCTAGCTTCTTTGTCTCCACAGCAGATGGCTTAGGTGTTGCAGCCGGAATGCATGGAGAAACCTCCCATGACTTTTGGTTGCGAAATTTTGTTGAGCGCAGGGCAAAGACTCGAAACAATTCTCCTTGTGAGGCAGATGCGGCCTATAAGAGCGCGACCATTGGGGGGCAAACTCATCAAGATTGTGGTTTTCATGGCATTGTCACTTGTTCATTTGAAGGGGTCGTCGACACGGCGGCAGAAGGTGGTCTTATAGGAAGTTTTGCTTTGAAAAGACTGCAACATGAACTCAACCAATTAGGGCTATGTTGTCGTTGGACCCCGAAAACTTCTGCGGCAAAGGGAGTTGGTGGACAAGCACAAGTTGTTGGTGTTATTTTGATTCCGTTGGGTCTTGGTGGTATCAATGGAGTTTTGGAAACAACAGTAGTTGAAGGAGATGTACCATTGCTTTTGCCAATTCGTTTATTGAAAACTTTGGATGCGATCATCAACATCCCAGAACACCATGTATTTTTCGGGAAGCATGCAGTGACTGTACCGATGAGAGAGCTCAGCAGCGGTCACATGGTTATTCGAGTCACTGAATTTGCACAGGCAGGTTTCCAGGTACCAGAAGAATTGCAATCGCAGTATGACTTCAGATGTGGCATGGAGGAGCGTGAAACAAATGCAGTCATGCTGGCTCAACAACGCCTACGAACTGGCACCACGAGCCCACGTTCAGTTCTTTCACCTGGTGCCTCTCTTCGACCTGATGGAAGGCTTGGTGAATCGAATTCGAAATGTGGGCAAACCCAAGGCGATGATGGAGCCGACGATTTCAAGTGTTCGTCGGGCCGTGCAGCACTCAACCCCGAAGGCTGTGCGAAACTGGCGGGTGATGTTGGACAAGCTATGCACTTTGCTGGCAATGGTGGCTCTGCAAGAGGCTATCGGAGACTGGTGCCCGCAATCATTGGAGCAGGCATCCTTGCCCTCGTGCGAGACCAAGCAGGAGGACATCTATGCCGAGATCATAGTGGGCGCACCGGCTATGAAGCCTTTGCAGACCAAAGAACCTCCTCCGAAATCAGCAAGCGAATGTGTGCACCCGAAGAACAAGTTGAAGGGAGGTGGCAACAATCGCGCATCTTGGATAGTATGTCGCGAATGCAATTCGAGATGGGAGAGTCCGTTCAGGGCAATGGAGGTGAGGAGAGACTTGAAGAAGGAGAACCTCGAGAAGAGACGGGGCTCTTTGAGTCAAGACATGGGGACCGCAGTGGTTCCAGAGGACATGGAGGTGGAAATGGCTATGGGCGAGGTTCCGAATGTCAACCAGGCCCTCACCTTTGCGGACACGACCATGGACATGAATGCCGCGCAGGTGGCACAGAACCTGGAGTACAAGATGTGGGAGGCCCAAGAAAGTATGAGGGCGCAAATGGAAGATCGCATGATGCAAATGATGGTGGAGTGGCAGAACCAGAGGGCGAGCTCTTCGCAAGAAGATCAACTCCAGCGGCAACAGCTGCAGTCCATTTTGAACGAAATGAGGGAGAAGACACTACGCCAAGAGGCAATGATCCAAGTACTGCAGCGAGGTGCGGTGGAGTCTCCCCCGATGACTGCAGGGCCAATGGAGAGTCAGCGCTTGGAGACCGGCTCAGAGGCCGGGGCATCAACTCTTGCCGGAGCAGTGAGAGCACCGAGTGTCAACACTCTGGTTCTATGTCATTGCCAACAACCTGCAGAACGTCTGAAGGTGAACAAAGAGGGTCCGAGACGAGGCCGGACCTTCTGGAAGTGCACACAGAGGCTGTGCAATTTCTTTCAGTGGGATGTGATGGAACAACAACGACTTTTGCAAGCACAACCAAAGATGCGGCCGAACACAGCACCTCTCAGTTCGGCAAACTCCTGGCAGCCGGTGAGCGACCAAGTGGAGATTGTGGACCTGGTGTCGGAGAGCGGGATCTAAGTAGTTGGACCCTATGCTGCACCAGAGAAAGCCGAAAGAAGGTGCGGAAGCTGCAGGGAAAAGGAGCAGGTGAGTTGTTCCATGTGGAATTGAAGTACCAAGTTTTTCTTGATGAGTGGCAAGATCGAGAAGGGCTAGTACCAATAGAATGTGAACAAGACATTAGAGTGGAATTGCACGCCAACAATAACACTTTCTTGCAGCAACTCTTTGACGATGGAAGGGAGACTCAGTTTAACCGGAGGCAGCGTAGAACACTGAAGAGGGCGATGGCATGCTTTCATGGAAAATCTGGTGAGATAGTGTCGGAGGTGTTTTCGCCCCCGCGAGTGGTGGAGCAAGCTGCACGACATGGTTTGACCCCTGGGAAAAGCTATGACTTGGTCACGGGTTGGGATCTCAGTGACCCTGTTCAGGTGAAGGCCATGTGGAAACAGCTTCATGAAGATAGGCCACTCCTCATAGTTCTTTCTCCTCCGTGCACTGCCTTCTCCCCGCTGCAAGAATGGAATTTTCCAAGAATGAGTGTGAGAAATGCGGTCCGTTTGATTGTCGGAGGTTTGGAACACCTCGAGCTCTCCATGCAAATTGCGAAATGGCAGCATCGTCAAGGCAGATACTTCATGTTCGAGCATCCTGATCTTGCGAAGTCCTGGGAGGAGGACTGTGTTGAAAAGGTTGCCGAGATGGAAGGAGTCTTTCGTGTCATATGCGACATGTGCAGGTTCAACTTGAGAGCTGATGGAGTAGGACTGAATAGGAAGCCAACGGGCTTGCTCTTGAATAGCGAAGAGATGGCCAGGCATTTGAGCCGGCGATGTCAAGGAGGTCATGAACATCAACCCCTGTTGCATGGGTTGGCACGAAAAGCACAGAAGTACACCATGGAGTTTTGCAGAGCTGTGATCCAAGGTCTCAAGAAACAGATGGTGAAGGATGGAGTGGTTCACCGTCCACATGAGATATGGGCGGTCAGCCATGAATTGGACATGGAGGAGGATGAAGAAGAGCCAATTGGTCAAGTTGAAGGAGGCGAAGCCGAAGGCAGTCATCAGATCACGGAAGAGGAAAAGGCCATGGTGAAGAAACTTCACCGAAATGTGGGACACCCACAGCAACCAGAGTTTATACGATACATGCGAGCTGGCAGAGTCAGGCCTGAAGTGATCCGATGGGCAGCCAAAGAATTCAGGTGTGACGTTTGCGAGGCAAAACAACACCCAAAATCTGCCAGACCGGCAACCATCCCTCGGAGTTACCAGCCCAACAAAGTGATTGGAGTCGACATCACCTTCATTCCACAAGTCGGAGGTGGTGGAGTCATCCCGGTTCTGAACGTGTTGGACTGGGGAACTAACTACCAGATGATGGAGATGCTGGAAGGAAAACAACCTCAAGAAGTTTGGGAAGCGCTGCAACGAGTATGGTTTCGAATCTTCGGTGTCCCGGAGATCATAGTCACAGACCAAGGCAGAGAATTTAGCCAAGTGTTTCAGATGGAGGCGGCAAAGCTGGGAATACTCTCACATCAAACTGCTGCGAGAGCTCCCTGGCAACAAGGGAGAACGGAGCGACATGGTGCCCACTTCAAAGAGATCCTGGAGAAAGCCAGAGCGGAAGAAGTGATCACCAATGACCAGGAGCTGGTGGCATTGATGCGGGAGGTGGAGCAGGCAAAGAACCGATACAGCAACAGATCGGGATTTGCCCCTGTTCAGCGTCAGATTGGACAGTGGCCGAGAGTTCCAAACTCATTACTCTCGGATGATCACTTGGACGTTACCTTGGTAGATGACATGCTGGTGGACGACATTGAACGTCTTCACAAGATGCGTCGTCTGGCTCAGAAAGCTTTTGTGGAGGTGAATGCCAAGACCTCCATGCGGAAGGCTTTGCTGGGAAGGCCTCGTCCTTGGGAGAACTATGAGGTTGGAGATTTGGTCTATGTGTACCGAGTTCCCAAGGCCAGGAGGACAAAGACTGGCGCAAAGGAGGCGTTTGAGATCGCCAGCAACAAGGCGATGTGGGTCGGACCTGGGACAGTAGTGGTTCCCGATGGTGCAAATTTGTGGATATCCATGATGGGCGAATTGTGGAAAGTGGCAAGGGAGCAATGTCGAAAGGCCACCTCTGATGAGCGACAAGGAGTTGAGGCGGTCATGCAGGAGTGCCAGGATTTGATACAAGAATACAAAAGGAACAGCAAGAGGGCAGGCTACAAAGACATCACTGGTGAGGCTTTTCCTCCCAATCAGGGAGAAGAGGAAGTCGAAGAAAGCCCTTTGAAGAAAGTCCGTTTCAATGAGGAGGAAGAGGTACACGAAATGCCATATACCCCTGAGTCGCCAATTCCAACACCTGATGGCGAAGAGGCAAGGTCATCAGTGGCAGAACCTGAAAGAGAGGTGAGCAGACCATCTTCAGTAAACGGAGGTGGTGAAAGGATCATTTCATCCAGTACATCGTCTTCTATGCCATCTACACCCTCAGAAGGAGGAAACGGAGCTGGAGGTGGGATGAGAAGGATGGAAGGAGATGAAAATGCAGAACAAGCAGGGCTCCCAGAGATGGAACAGAGCTCATCGGTGGAACCGCCTGAGTTCCAGGAGGCTGTCAATGCTTCTAGGTATCAGGCGAACAGATTGGATGGGCATCCTCATGCACCTAGCGCAGGACCTGTGCGCTGGGTCCGAGGCAGCAGGGAGAGAAATCCATACTTAGCCTTTGAACCAGAGTTCCATTTGATTGCTGCTGGAGAAGATGAAGAAGAATGGGAAGATGCAGAACACCAGAGAAGGTGGCAGAAGCTTCAACAGCGAGAAAATCCCAAAGCGGGGGATTTTTGGAGATATGAACCAGAGACTCGTTCTCTGGTGCGGTGTCATCAAAGTCGAAGAAGCAACAAGTTCAATCCAGTGGGCTGCAAAGATCTACCACTGCCCATTTGGGCTCTTCAATCAGAGCGAAGCACGGACATGAAGGATGGTGCGAATGGCTCACGCCAGGAGAAGGATGATTGGAGAAAAGGAGGTGGAAACAAAAGAGAGAAATGCAGAAAAATGTGGTGGACAGGAGAGACCAAATTTCAATTGGAGGAGAGTTTTGATTTGAAAGTTTGGTTAGCGGCAAAGAAAGGGCAAGATGAAATAGACCTGAGCAAGGAACCGAAAGAGGAGCTAGAAGGTTGGAAACTAGCGGATGCTGCCGAATGGGCCAAGATAGAGGCCAGCGGGGCAGTCCGTGTTTTGTCCACAGCAGAGAGTGAACAAGTCAAAGCACAGTTGAACAAGGAGAACAAATTAGATCGCATTTTGCCAACCAAGGTGGTGCGACGGCGAAAACCTGCTGAGCAGCCTGGTGAAGAACCTTCCAAGAAGTCTCGAATTTGCATCCGAGGCGATTTGGATCCAGACATTTTGGACCTGGAGAGATTTTCACCAACTATTACCACAGTCAATTTCAACGTTTTGTTGCAGCTGGCAGCAAACCGAAAGATGTGGGCTTCTATAGGAGATTTGCGAAACGCCTTTTGTCAGTCACAACCTTTGGAAAGGAAGAATGGGCCTATTTATTTTCAACAACCAAAAGGTGGAATACCAGGTTTAGAAGAGGGCCAAATCATTCAAATTCTTGCAGGTTGCTATGGCTTGGTGGACGCTCCACTGCATTGGCGTCGAAGTCTCTTGGCTGACTTAGCGAAGCTGGGATATCAACAATCCAAACTTGATCCATGCATTTGGAAAATTCATGATCCGATCACTGGAGAGCTAGAAGGTGCAGTTGCCATTGAAGTGGATGATTTATTCACAGTTGGACATGCTAGACATCATGCACTCATGAGCAAGCTACAGCAGATCTACACCTTTGGTAAGTATGTGGGGCTGAAAGAGGTTGAACAGGGTGCAGCTTTCAATGGTAGGCGGATCAAGCAATTGCAAGACGGGTCTTTTAAGATTGACATGCAGAAGTTCGTAGAAGAGCGTTTGTTTCCAGTTGAGTTGGAGAAAGGTAGGAGTAGTCAAAGACGATCTGATGCAACCAGTGAAGAAGTAGCAAAAGCGCGAGCAGTATGTGGAAGTTTAAACTGGCTGGCGAAAGAGGGCAGACCAGATGCTGCAGGACCTTCGTCCCTGCATTCTTCAAAACTGGCGAACTTAAAGATCGAAGACATTCTTGCCATCAACGACACTGTAAAGAGGCTCAAGGAAACTGCGGAGTTTGCGGTGATCTTGCAACCATTGCACAACATGAAACTGAGTATTGTAACAGATGCGTCATTTGCCAATAATGGATATCATTCTCAAGGTGGTCAAATGGTCATAGCTCATGAACCAGGTCTACGCGATGGTTTGAAGGTAAAAACGAATTTGGTAGGCTGGAGAAGCGGTCGTTTGCAAAGAGTGGTGAACAGCACATTGGCAGCAGAAACTCAGAGTCTTAGTAGAGGTCTAGGTGATTTGATGTGGATCATGGTTCTTGTCAAGGAGCTTTCAGAAGCCAACTTCCGGGTGAGAGACTGGAAGCAGCGACTCAGTGCGGAAGAGGTGATGGTACTAGGCTCGGAACAACATCAAGATTCCCTCAAGCATAGTCTAGCAATCATCGATGCTAAGAGTCTTTTTGACTATTTGGCAAAGGATACCGTAGGAGGACAAGACAGAAGAACCGCGATTGAGATACAGATTATCAGAGAAGACCTAAGTCATTTGCAAGGACAAGTGCGATGGGTGGATCATCCAGCGATGTTGGCGGATGGCCTCACGAAGATCCGTGGCAATAATGAACCTTTGTACAGATTAGTGAGAGAGGGAGTTTTCAGAATTCAAGCAGAAGAATCTCAAATGGCTTTGCGTGAACAGGCCAGGCAGAATGGTCAACGCATAGACCAAATCAGACGTGCTGGAGTGAGAGAGAATTTTGGGAGCTGTGATTCAACTGAGCACAGACATGTACAGGCTCACTCCAGCCAACTGTAACATTGTGGCCCAATATCATCAGGGGCCCCAGTTCATCCCAGACGGCGTCGGAACGCCATGCCAGCTTGTGAGGGCACAAAGGCGCGTTGAAGGTGTCCGCCTCCACTGGATTCACAAATTCTTTTTTTTAAAATGTAATTAAGACATGTTCTGATTTGCATACACCGATTTTGAATCCATTAAGGAAGTCATGGAGCAGTGGTGACAACGTCACGATTTGCCCGGGCTCTTAGCGACTTGGGATGACTTTGGCCTCAAGCAAACTGAAAAGTGCGCAGCGCTGGTGCCAGAGGCTGGGCATTTGAGAAAGAGGTGCTTATCGTGAACCGCATCGGTCACTCTCTTCAAGATATCCCCTCACTTTAAATCGTTTATCGATGTACAATTTCTGGCAAAACATGAAACATTGACTTATTTTTCTCGTTCTCTTGCACTTAGGCCTTGTCGAATTTCTGAACATGGCTCGTGGCATTTCCACTTTCCCGTCACCGGGCGAACCCGGTCGGCCGTGATGGCAATGACGCGCATAATGACATGGTCGCGCATCTGGCGCAGCAGCAGCAGGCAAAACTGGACGTCACACCGGGGGCGGATGCCGTCCAACAAAAGCACATGTTGCAGACTTCTCAACTCTCTGTTGAGGTAGTGGCATTGCATGTAAAATGGCTTCAAATGTCCCAATATATCGATCCAAATGCTGCAGCTACGTCTAGGAAAATAGATCTGAGAAATGTCAGTGATCGGCTGAATGAAGCTGGTGTTCGCAAGTTTGACATTGAATATGAAGTAAAGCATGACAGCAAGACAGTCACGTACTGTTTGTTACCTCTCAAGATGCAGATTCTCAGGATCAAGAACCACTCTTGTTTTCCCAACCTTCACTCAGTTTCCTGAAGCTAATCAAACTGCCACCAGTTAGGCTGTGGTCTGCCAAGTCGTTGCTCAATTCACCGACCCATGCATTCCCTCGCTGAATTTAATCCAGCAGCTTCTTATTTGGGATTCAGCGCGATCCTGGCTGTGCACAGCCCCTTTGAAGGGATAAATTAGAGTGGAGTTGAGATCCTCTTCCCTTTCAGTTTACGAAGAAACTATTGCGGAAGTCTTGGCCACGACCAAAGCAGCTGAACAAGTTTGTGGGTTGTGTGATCACTTAGTGATCACCATTGATCACCATGATTTTGATTGGCGTTGTGTATGTTTGCCATTTCAAGGTGATGGCCAGTTTGTCATAGATCGGACAGCTAGATATGGTGGGCGAGATGCATTTTTCCTGTTTAATAAGAAACAAAATGGAAGAAAGAAGGCAAGAGGCAACAAGATATAGGAAGCAATAGGACAGATATGTTGGCAAAACTTGAAGGTCCTGTGAACTACATAGTTTTGTTGTCATGTTCAGTAGGAATCCGTCATTGAGTCCCTGCAGGTTTCAGAACATGTTGAGTGAATCATGCAATCCGTCAATCTTCTCGAACTAGCAAGACACCACAAATGAGAAGGTTGTGAAAGAGACTCCGAATGGTCTCCTATCTTCATCTGGCTGTTTCTCGCACCGGGGATGCCCTAACAAAACCTGTTCTGTCTTTGAATGTTGAAAATGCGTGTTGCTGTCAGTCGCAGTTCGTTTGTGCCGCTAATGTCCCCACATGCAAGAAGCATCCATTGCATCCATTATCCATTGTCTTCATTGCCCCACGAGCTCGGCCTATTGTTGCCACACGACAGATCTTTCCGCAGTCAAAAAGTCGAACCCCTCCAAACCTCCAAGCGGTACGCCATCGGAAGAATTGAGAGATGTGCACGTGAAATTGTCATCAATTTCATCAAGGATCTGAATCTATGAGTCGAAACTTGCACACAAAGAAACACAAAGACATATGGCAGAGTAGCCAGCCATCAGCCTTGCTAAATTTTCTGGACAGGCACGAAGTGCCCGCTGTGCAGCTAGGGTTCCGATCTTGGCCATGCGAGGCATTTGATTTGGGTGGATGAGATTCGCAAAGAGAAGAATGCCATTGAGCCACAAATTTGATGCACTGCATCTGATTGCATCTGATTGCCACAAGCATCCACAAGCTCTTCATTGTAGACTATTGTAGACCTAGATTCAAGGCCGGAGAATGGAGGTTTGAAGCCATTTGAAGCACTTTCACTGAGGCCACTGGTGGCCAACCCAGCTGATTTAGGGGAAGAGGAAGATGAGGTGAGAAGTTCAGGTTCTCGATGCATTCTTCGATGCATTCTCTGTTTTTTTCGTCAGGATCTGCAGAGATGAAACAAAAACATCAAAAACGGCGATTGTGATGACTGTGATGACTATCTGTTTTTAATAGTGCAAATGTACAGCTGTTTGTGCCACGCCGGAAAGTGTTGCAGGATGTTCATCGCGCTAGCAGCATGAGGCGCCATGTTCCTGTGAAAGTCTGGGTTTGAAGTTCAGCCTCTCAATGAGAAGACTGCGTTGAATCATGGCTCATGTTTTTTTGACCCTTTGTGATTCTTGTGGGGCTTTGAACATTTTTGCAAGTTGCAACTCTTGTTGTCGACCAATGTGTGAAGTGGAAGGGTCCTGGCTTTACAGCTTTTGCTTCTACTAGAACTAGCGGCTGGTGCAACTTGAAACCACCAGACCAAGTTAGGCAAGCAATCCATCATTGGCAACTTGCCATGCGGTCGAGATGTGCTGCCAAGGTCCGTCCCTAGATATCTCTTGTTATTTCTGTCCTCGTGGTAGGCCTACCTCCTTCTTGCCCAACACACAGGAACAGGCAGACGACCAGGAGCTGCATGGAGCTGCTATGTTGCACAAACAGTGAACCAATCTGAACCAGTTTCGCAAACACTCAATCAGACTGAGTTGCTCTTGACATCACATGTCACATCTACTGAACCTACCAGGATCCCGATGCAGAAGGTCAGGATGAGCAGGACACCGTCCCCAAGGTTTCGACATGTTCTTTTTTAATGTGGCATGTGCAGACTTCACATTGGCACATATTGAGCTCATTTGACCTCGCTTCATTGAAATGATTTTCAGCCACACTCGGTGCGTCGCATGTCTGTGTGTGTGTGGGTGTATCCGCATGCGTTTAGCAGAATGTAAGGAAGGCTACTGCCAACTGACCGGCTTAGTTTGACCTTCCTCAAGCTCCCAATTCTACTGGAACTATCAGGAATTACGGCAACAGTGCAGCAGCCAACAATCATTAGCCACTGCTGGGTATGTACACACACAGAGTATGATGATATGATATGACGTACTAGTTTTGGTTCAACCCTCAGCCAGGCACACCCCGGAAGGATTCGTTCCATTGTTTTGCTTGCTGCAATGGTCATCAAAATCAGCAGTAGTTCGGCATTTGACAGTATTGCGTACAGGAGCACGGACACGAAACTGCAACCGGCCAGTTGGCTTCATTGCAGCACAAATCTCAGAGAAACCTTGACATGACATCCATGATCACCTCGCAAAAAGGACCATCTCCTGGGTCAAGCAAGGGCAGAGAAGCATAAACTGATCTCATGATTCTCAAATCAATGTCGATGTGCCCGAGTCACAAGCCTGTCTAAGTTTTAGAAGACTAAAAGGGCAAGGACAGGACCTTAAGGACTTAAGGTATATATTGTATTATAGATCTCTCTCTCTCTCTCTTTCTCTCTCTCTTTCTCTCTCCCTCCTTCGCACCCATGGGTTTGAATTTGTGACCCTGCCTGTTGAACTTGAAGTAGAAGCACATGCAACGATGCTTGCACGCAATTGTATTGAGAGAGGTGCGCTGCAAGACAGTCCAAGCATGGTTTAAGAATGTTTAAGTTTCAGAGGGTTTCAACATCCTGGGTCCTGGATTGTTGGCATGGTGAGATGCAGCGGGCCATTTCTGCATCTTGTGCAATCTGGGTCGCTGAAATGCTCCCGCCCAGATGTCAAACCAAGGCCGTGGCGTGCCTTCTTCTTCAATACTGTTCTGTTGGCGGTGATGTGGTGCTGTCCTAAAGCTGCGCCGATGAGAGCAGACTGAATGTTATAGATTTTATAGATTATTGTATTATCAGTTTTAAAACCGATGCCAATTGTATATAAGTTGTATGAGTTGTATGGCAGCTCCTCCGCCGAGTCTCGTCTCCATTTTCAATAGGACCTCTTGCAATACATTGAGGTGGTGTGCATCCTTCGTCGCGTTCTACGATGTATGGATCGACTTGCCGGAGTTTACAAAGTCAGGGCCACAATCCAGGACTCATGCTGTGTAGCGCATAAGCCTAGATTCCTAATCCGTATGCCCCGTTTTGAACATGCATGGTACTTAGAAAGTGACTGTCTTTGCTGGCAGGGATGACCAGTGCTTTGAACGCCAGGTCTCGCTATGGCCTGAAACCCGGAGAGGCCATGTCTGTGCAGATTTATCAGAAGTTGCTGGCCAACGCTGATGGGGGTGGTTGTGGTGGTGGTGTTGGTGCTTCTGCTGTTTTATTGTCCCCAAACAGTGTGTCCACACTGAGGGGTTCGTACGGTAAGTGTAAAGGCCGGTGCTTAATCAGGGTGCTCCATCTGTTGTTCCCCGCCATTTTCCCGAGAGCGTCTGAGCGAAGGGTTCTTCTAATAGTGGGGGTCTGTCAAACATTTTCACATCCTCACATCTTCACCTCCTCACATCTTCACACCTTCTCATCTTCACATCACATCTTCACATCTTCTCATCTTCACATCTTCACATCCTCACATCTTCACATCTTCACATCACATCTTCACATCTTCACATCTTCACATCTTCACATCTTCACATCACATCTTCTCATCTTCTCATCTTCACATCTTCTCATCTTCACATCTTCACATCACATCACATCTCTCATCTTCACATCTTCACATCTTCACATCTTCTCATCTTCACATCTTCTCATCTTCACATCTTCACATCCTCACATCCTCACATCTTCACATCCTCACATCTTCACATCTTCTCATCTTCACAGCTTCTCATCTTCACATCTTCTCATCTTCACATCACATCTTCACATCTTCTCATCTTCACATCTTCACATCCTCACATCCTGACATCTTCACATCCTCACATCTTCACATCTTCACATTCTCTCTTGCCCTCTTGCTCTCGTGCCCTCTTCTTTTTCCTTCTTTTCTATTTCTCTCTTAAGGCGCGGGGCAGTGCCAACGAGACGGCACGAAACGCAACCCTTTCGCACGAAACGAGGTTGGATCGCCAAAAACTGAGGTAAAATTGCGATTTTACATTCTCGGCGGCAACTCTTTCGCACGAAACGAGCTTCGATCGCCAAAAACTGAGGTAAACTTGCGATTTTGAAGTGTCGGTCGCAACCCTTTCGCACGAAATGAGGTTCGAGCGCCAAAAACTGAGGTAAAATTGCGAACCTCGGCGGCAAACACTTCGCACGAAACCAGCTTTGATCACCAAAAGCTGAGGTAAACTTGCGATTTTGAAGTGTCGGTCGCAACCCTTTCGCAGGAAATGAGGTTCGAGCAACCCTTTCGCACGAAACGAGCTCTGATCACCAAAAACTGTGGTGAAATTGCGGTTTTGAAGTGTCGGTCGCAACCCTTTCGCACGAAATGAGGTTCGATCGCCAAAAACTGCAATAAAATTGCGAACCTGGGCGGCAACCCTTTCGCACGAAACGAGCTCTGATCACCAAAAACTGTGGTGAAATTGCGATTTTGAAGTGTCCGGCGCAACTCTTTCACACGAAATGATGCTTGAGTGCCAAAAACTGAGGTGAAATTGCGATTTTGGAGGTCGGCGCGCAACCCTTTCACGCGAAATGGTGGTCGAGTGTCTAAAACTCAGGTGAAAATTGCGATTTTGGAGGTCGGCGCGCAACCCTTTCGTGCGAAATGGTGGTTGAGTGTCAAAAACTGATGTGAAATTGCGATTTTGGAGGTCGGCGCGCAACCCTTCATGTACTGGATGGACGCCGGTTCGAGAGAATTGTACATCTACGACCAAGTGCACATGAGCGGCCCTCCTGAAATGGGCCGTCATTTCTGGGGCCATTTGCCACTATCTTGGATGCATGAGCTCATGCTGGGTTTCACATTGTATTACATTCTGTTTTCAAATGAAGAAGCAAGAGATGATGACAACCGATTATGGGTCTTGGTGCTGAGGGATACTCTGCGGCAGCGCCCACATCGTTGGACATGACAGCTGTCCATCTCGGCTGTCTCTCGCTGGCTTCGGTGCTATGGAAGTATTTCCGTAAAAATCCAGATAAAGCTGTAGCGGATACAAGTCAACTGAAACTGTTCCAGACTTGATCATGCACATCTTCATCACAATGAATGAGCACAAGTCAACAAGATTTGTCTGAGACTTTCTCGTGCACAGTCGACGGTGAACAAAGCTGATGATTGCTTTTGCATATTTGCGTTATAGCTGCCTGGACCTAGAAGCATTTCTCAGCAACATGTTTAGGTCACGAGCTTCATCCCCCTTCGGATTGCTGAGGTGGCCACGACAACGATGACTTCGCTGTGAGTGTGTGTATGTGTGTCCTGGTGTCTGCGTGTCTGTTTGTGCGTCCCGTGTCTGTCTCTTTGTGTGCGTGTGTGTGTCTGTGCCTGTGTGTGTGTGTGCGTGTATGTGTCTTCCTCTTTGTGCGCGTGTGTGTCTGTGCCTGTGTGTGAGCGTGTATGTGTCTTCCTCTTTGTGTTCTGTTTGTGTGTGCGTGTGGTGTCTGTCTGTGTGTGTGTGTGTGCGTCTGTGTCTGTATCTTTGTTTGTGTGTATGTGTCTCTGTCGGTCTCTCAAATTTTGTGTCTATCTTTGTCTGCTTCTGCTTAGAATCTGACATAGCATTTCTATCTCCTTTCTGCTGATCATCTGCATCATCTTCAATGAAGCTTTCACCTACAATGTCTTTGATACTACTTACAAGAGAGTAACATACTCTTCTACGCTCTCGGGCCATCCGTCGTCTAGTTTCCTGTAAATTTGCATAAAAATTGTTATTGTGACACGTCCATGTGAATGTCGACTGCGCACGCTCGCGCAGAACGTGGGGCTAAGTTTTGGGGCGCGGCACTTTTCCGGAGAATTCTTGCATAAAATGCTTCCTGTGATATGTCCATGTGCCTTTCGACTGCGCAGGCTCTCACAAAGTCTGCGCCGCGGGGTTCTCAAGCCCTGGGTCTGCAGCTTTTTCATTGTGAATTCTCCCATAAACGGGCTTTTGTAGAAATCTGGCTAAATTCCTTTCTAAGAGGTCCTTGCGTGATGCTGTCTGTACAGGTCCTTAACAGAAGATCTTGTGGAGATGCTGGTGAGATCCTCTCTAAGAGGTCCTTGCCCATGGACCTTGCAGATGCCATGTCTTAGACGTGCTTGTAAGAAAGCTCTTGTGGGAGGCTCTTGGGAGGTTCTTGTATCAAGATCTTGTAAGATCCGCTCCAGCAGCAGCAGCAGGACCTTTTGTGACGATTTTGTGAAATTCTCTTAGGGGTCCGGACATGAAGATCTTGCCCAAGGTCTTTCACAGTTTCTTTTGCGAAGATCTTGTGGAGATCCTGTTGAAATCCTCCTCAAGAGGTCCTTGCCTTGCATTATCATTAAGATCTTGGTGCTTGTATGACAGTTCTTCTGGGATGCGCATAGGAAGTTCTTGTCTGCAGATCTTCTGAGCTCCTCTATATAGATCTACATAGAAGGTTCTGCTGCTGCAGTTGGCTAACCTCATCTGTTACTGTTCCATAGCTACTGTTGCTTGTATCTGGTACATTGACTTCCTACCCTCCACACTGTTTGGGGCCTCTTGCCGGTGCAACTAAATGGTGGGGGGGACGATGATCTTGTCTACGATGATGCCAACGGCCTGGCGAAGAAGATCATCATAATGAAATTCCAAATCTCACGCTGATGCTTTTGTTGACCACAGCGACGACGAAGACACGTAAAGAGGGAGAAGAGGGATCGGATAGATGAAAGATATATGATCAAGAAGAAGAAGAAAAAGAAGAAGAAACAAATAAGACGAAAAATAAGAAGAAAAAGAAGAAGACAAAGAAGAAAAAGAAGAAGAAGAAGAAGAAACAAGAGAAAAAACACCGAGAAAGAGGAGGATGATGATGATGATGACGACGGCAATGATGCTGACACAACGATCATGACAAAGCGAGAATGATGATCATTGTGGTGATGGTGACGGTGATGATGATGATGATGATGATGATGGTGATGATGATGATGACGACGACAGTGGGGTGATGATGGCGGTGATGGTGATGGTGATGGTGTTGATGGTGGTAATGGTGGTGGTGATCATGATTCTGATGGTCATGATGGCTGTGGTGGTGAGGAGGGGGAGGGGGGGAATAAGGACAGCATGTATATTATTTATTTAAGTTATTTTTATATATAACTTGTACAACTTTATTTATATATATATGTATATATATATATTATATATATATAACTACAGCTATAGATATAAACATACATATAGACACACATATTTTTAAAATAAATACATCAATATAAATAGACAAATAAAAACAAACAAACACCAACACACACACACATCATATATATATATATATGTATATAGTCATACATATATATATATACATACATACATACATACATGGATATCTTTAATTTATGACCCATGTGGCTCATGAGTCTATCAATGAGGGGCATAGCATGGAAACATGTTGCAGTCCGTGTCGTTTGTTTTCGACTCCTTTGGTGCATGCCTTCGTTCAAACACTGCGAAGGTGGCACGAATGGCGACCTTGCTGGGGGAGAAGGTGGAAACAGGCCCTTCGATTCCGAGCACTGTGCTTGGTCAAACCCTTGGGTGTAAGGCTGCCTGACCAACAGAATCTATGGCATACGGCATAGTTTCCATTGTTTTTGCCGTTCATACTCAGCCTTGAGACGCCAGTGTGAAAGGGACCCAATGTATCAATTTCTTAGTCAAGTTGCCCTTCAGTGCAAGTTATCGCTAGCAGCAGCAGGATGGGGCAACCTAACATGGCAACCGCACGGCTTTGCTTGCGACGGATCAGCCCGGTGTCTGTAGGGTGGGGAAATAGCGGCCGTGAACCCACGATTGGAGCATTTTACCAACAGGTTCAACAGTTGTGTTTCGGCATGCCTAAGTACTTAGGAGATCTTAGGAGTACTTGGTCTTTCATCCCTAGATTAGATGCACATTGCTGTTCTGATGCACGGTACCAATTATTGTACAATGTCAGTGCATGTCAGTATTTCAATGGTTTTCCTTTTCTGGCTACGAATTTGCTTTTCCAGGTCGCTTCTCATTTGAAGTTCGCACTTGTCTTCAAGTTTTCTTGCACAGGCCCACAAGATACAACGGCTAGCAGACCCAAGCAGAGCTACAACTGCGCTCTCTTCAAACCAGGTATGCATACAGGAATTTGCCCAAAGTGTAGCAGAAGTGGCTCCACGCGCACCAATAAATAAATGCAAAGTCGCAATGATAGCCTCCATGAAAGATACAAAGCAGACACGCAGGGTTTCCCTTTTTATTTGTGGAGGGTCTCTAGTTTTTTTGTAAGCTTGGTCTTCCTCCTCTCCTCTCCAGACGCACTGCCAGATCAAATGTCAGACAGTCAGCATATAATCAGCACATACTTCACATGAAAAGTCAGATAGAAATTTGGATAAAAGGTCAGAATACATAGCAGATAAAGAATCAGATCGAATGTCTGAATATATTCCAGAATCCATTTCAGATAGAATGCCAGATGGAATGTGAGATAGAATGCCGGACACAACAGGACGCCGGATAAAATGTCCGAATATATTTCAGTAAAAGAAAAGGACGCATGACTTTTCTGCAGGACACGCAGTTGAGATTTGGAGGTGGCTGGCTTGATGCCATTTTGGCTCAAGCCACCGCCCACTCTTGAATCCTCCTTTTGTGGGAGAGTGGCGTGGCGCAATGTGGCCGCAGGCCAACGTGAACACCGTGGAGAGTGCTGACCGCGGGGAGTGCTGACACCTGGAACGATCCGAACCCTGGGCATCCTCTACTTCATTGCCGAGCTCTTCTGCCAGGGGCCCTTCTACGACTCTGACCTCAGGGAGTACATTGGAGTGCGGTGAGGAGAAATTTTGAGCAAAGCTGCTGGCACAGATGCAGCTGTGAAGGCTTCCAACATGGAAGCATATGAACGGCAAGGAATGCCACAGGACCCATTCAGCAGCGCTCCAAAACAATGTCTGCGGGTGGGCTGGTGGCATCACAACGTGTCGATAAAATGCAAGCAGACAGGCAGGCAGGCAGGCAGACAGACAGACAGATAGATAGATAGGTGGATAGATAGATAGATAGATTAGATTAGATTAGATTAGAGTAGAGTAGAGTAGAGTAGAGTAGAGTAGATTAGATTAGATAGATAGATAGATAGAAGATAGGTAGGTAGGTAGGTAGATAGATAGATAGATAGATAGCTAGATAGACAGACAGACACAGAGAGAGAGAGATAGATAATGTCAACCCTGGATTAATAAACCATGGTTTATTGATTAGGGGGGGTACTCCCCAAATAGTCACAATCTGATACTTAAATGGCATCCCCCCGATTAAACAACCTAGGGGTTTATTAATCCAGGGATGACATTAGATAGATAGATACATAGATAGATAGATTAGATTAGGTTAGATTAGATTAGATTAGATTGGATTGGATTAGATTAGATTAGATAGATAGGTAGGTAGATAGATAGATGGATAGATAGATAGATAGCTAGATAGCTAGAAGATAACTAGATAATTCGATAACTAGATAGATAGCTCGATGGATGGACGGACGGACGGACGGACGGACGGACAGACAGGTAGATATATGATATATGATACATGTCACATAAGGCATCAGATGACCCGCAGAACGCCAGATAAAATTTTTGAACATATGCCAGGTAAAATGTCAAGTATAATGTCGGAAAATACCTCAGATAGAACAATGCCAAATAAAATGCCGATAGAATGTCAGTGGGTTGGGATCACTCGAAGAAGGCATTTTAAATGTTTGTTTATTTGCGTTTTTCCACCAAGGTCTTTGCTGTGGCCGGCCGCGATGGATTGGGGCGAAGCGCAATTCTTCAAGGTGCCTGGTTGTGCTGGGCAAAGACTCTTTTGGTGTTGGATATCAATGGATCAATGCAAAGGGCTTGGGAGATGGTCTCCGAAAGATTTCCGTACAAACGGAATGGTTGGCTTGCAGAAGTTGCATAATTCAAGCACATCCTGAAGAAACCCACTTCCAAACTCCAGGTCACTTTGACACAAATCTTCCAGACCACCTGGGATCCCTGCTTTTTTCTGGGCTACGAGGCGAAATGCAGAAGGGCAGCGCGCTGCATTTTGTGCGCGGCCCTGGTGTTATTTGGATTTGTGGTGGAAATTGAAGTATGCTGTGTTCACTGCAATCCTGTCAAGATTCCAAACACCCCACAAGCAAAAGATGGCAAGACGAGATGAAACCATGTTTCTGCATGTCGACACAGTGACACAGTGAAGATGTATGAAGATGTGTGAAAACATGTCTAGATATTGTGGATGACTCGAATGGGAAAGATAGCCGGGAACAGACCATGGTGCTATGCCAGTGGCCAAGGAGCTAGCGCCGCATTGTTCGTCCCTGGCGCAGATTCAGGAGCAGATGGGGGAAGCTAGAACCAACTGATCACACAAACATTGCAGAAACATAGACTATACATATCTATACAGACATTAATATACATAGAAATGTTACATGCCTACATTGCTAAGCGGGGCAAGACTGAAACAGGCGAGCTGCAAGTCATTGCAAGATTTGCGGCTGCATTTTGTCAGACCTTGGATGAGCCCGTGGACAAAATGTGATGCGTGTCGAAATTCCACATGTCACGAAAGCTAGCTGTGCTAGCTGAAGTTGCTCTTGCTTTAGCAAGGAATAGGCAGGGAGCAGGACCAGTGGAAACCTTGAAATCTCCCCCCCTGGCACCCTGGTCCCCCCCGATCCGCCCGGAGAGGAGATTTCCGGCTGGTAGAGGGTCATCATCCTCATTTTCATCTTCATCCTCGCCCTCCTCATCCTCATCATCCTCATCCTCATCATCATCATCATCATCATCATCATCCCCATCATCCGCAGCATCCACACCATCATCATCATCATCATCACCACCACCACCATCATCATCCTCGTGATCCTCATCATCCTCTTCGTCCTCCTCATCGTTGATCAGCATCCTCATCCCCTGGTCCCGCTGAGCTTGGTTTCCTGCAGGTATAGGGTCGTCTCTTCAGTATTTCTTCTTCAGGACGTCATGTTCAGTAAACCAACCAACAACTCTATAAAATCATCATCGGAAACTTGTCGGCTTCCAAATGATCATAATTATCTTCCTCCTCCTCCTCCTCGTCATCATCAGCATCATCATCGTCATCGTTGTCATCATCATCATCATCATCGTCATCATCAGTAAAATCCTCATCATCATCGTCATCATCATCATCATCATCATCCTCATCCTCATCCTCATCCTCGTCCTCATCCTCCATCCCCATCCCCATCTCCATCCTCATCCTCATCCTCATCCTCATCCTCATCCTCATCCTTCTCATCATCGTCGTCCTCCTCCTCCTCATCATCATCATCCTCATCATCATCATCATCGTCAACAACATCATCATCCTCATCATCATCCTTATCATCATCATTCATATGTTGCATTGTCTCGAACATTTTTATGCAGATTCGGGCTTCCATTTGGGGGGCGTTTTTTTTTTTGATATCGTGTTTGTTTTGCTTACAACACTTGGCGAGAGACGATTACTGCATTGGGGGTTTTTCGCTTGCTGGACTCAATAGATTTTGCAACCCTACAGCCCTGTTCATCATCCTCACCATCCCCATTTTCATCTTCATTCTCATCCTCAGCATCCTCATCATCATCATCTTCATCATCCACATCATCTTCATCATCCTCATCATCCCCTTCGTCCTCATTATCGTCGTCATGAGCTCATTCCTGTTACCATCACTTTGGTTATCATAAGTTTCCTTCATCGTTCTGGTCAGCAACCTCATCAACATTAAAAAATTGGCGCTGTTTGTGACTTGCAGCAACTCCAAAAAACCACGTAAGACCGTTGCCGCATTCCGACTTCACCTTGCTATATAATCCTCCTTTATGATTACCACCCTACCCCAGCCCTGCTAGCTTTCATACCTCCCCCTGGCCTCAAGTATAACGCCTAGCCGCAGATCCAAGCGGCGTGTTGATGATATCACATCCAGGATTTGGCTGTGCGATGCCATCAGCATTGCGATGCTGTTGCTGGGGTCTTAGTGACAAGGTACATAAGGACTGCGGATTGTTTTTGGGGAACACATTTCGGTCAATGACGACTTCAAACGTGATCCACAAACCGTGAGATTTGAGATTAATTGAAGCAGGGTTTTGCTTGACTTCATGTGGAGGTGATGCCGTTGAAGGGGCAGCAATTAGTCAGTTGCCCATTGCCCGAGTCCCAGTACGAGTTGACGGTGTTGTTGAAACTTTTTTCAACATGTTTGAACATTGTTTCAATATTTCAACTTTCAGCCATTCTGTTTCGAGGCTGGCCAAAAACTGGCGCGGCCCCCAAGAGCCATCAAGTCTGGCTGAACTGATGTTCGTCCCTGCCGCGAGTTGAACCTGCATGCATGAAGAGAATGGGTAGATCTCTTCAAACCAAAAACGCAACAGGCCAAGGTCGACATTCCATTTTTTTGGCATTGAACAGTTGGGTCTCAGCAAGCGGACCAGGGAGTTGGGGGAGCATTGCTGCGGATCAGTTGTGCAGTGGGTGACCTGGATTGATTTGGCCCATGCCATCCCCCAACTGTCCCAACTGGTATGACCACCAGACCACCATTCGTGTCCTTTGGTGCAGGTCATCCTCTGGATTGGCACGACCTTTGGCTGTCTCCTGGCTGGAGGAACAGCAATCTATCTGTGAAAAAAATAAAAAAAATCAAAGTGTTTGCAAAGTGTTTGCAACGTGTTTTCAAAGTGTTTGCAAAGTGTTTGCAACGTGTTTTCAAAGTGTTTGCAACGTGTTTTCAAAGTTTTTGCAACGTGTTTTCAAAGTGTTTGCAAGGTGTTTGCAAGGTGTTTTCAAAGTGTTTGCAACGTGTTTTCAAAGTGTTTGCAAAGTGTTTGCAACATGTTTTCAAAGTGTTTGCAAAGTGTTTGCAACGTGTTTTCAAAGTGTTTGCAAAGTGTTTGCAACGTGTTTTCAAAGTGTTTGCAACATGTTTTCAAAGTGTTTGCAAAGTGTTTGCAACGTGTTTTCAAAGTGTTTGCAAAGTGTTTGCAACGTGTTTTCAAAGTGTTTGCAACGTGTTCTCAAAGTGTTTGCAACGTGTTTTCAAAGTGTTTGCAAAGTGTTTGCAACGTGTTTTCAAAGTGTTTGCAACGTGTTTTCCAAGTGTTTGCAACGTGTTTGCAACGTGTTTTCAAAGTGTTTGCAAAGTGTTTGCAACGTGTTTTCAAAGTGTTTGCAACGTGTTTTCAAAGTGTTTGCAAGGTGTTTGCAAAGCGTTTGCAAAGTGTTTGCAAGGTATTTGCAAGGTGCTTGAAAAGTGTTTGCAAAGTGTTTGCGACGTGTTTTCAAAGTGTTTGCAAGGTGTTTGCAAAGTGTTTGCAAAGTGTTTGCAAGGTATTTGCAAGGTGTTTGCAAAGTGTTTGCAAAGTGTTTGCAACGTTTTTTCAAAGTGTTTGCAAAGTGTTTGCAACGTGTTTGCAAAGTGTTTGCAAAGTGTTTGCAAGGTGTTTGAAGGGTGTTTGCAAAGTGTTTGCAAAGTGTTTGCAAGGTATTTGCAAGGTGCTTGCAAAGTGTTTGGAAAGTGTTTGCAAGGTGTTTGCGAAGTGTTTGCAAAGTGTTTGCCAAGTGCTTGCAAGGTATTTGCAAGGTGTTTGCAAAGTGTTTGCAAAGTGTTTGCAAGGTATTTGCAAGGTGCTTGCAAAGTGTTTGCAAAGTGTTTGCAAGGTGTTTGCAAAGTGTTTGCAAAGTGTTTGCACAGTGTTTGCAAGGTATTTGCAAGGTGCTTGCAAAGTGTTTGCAAAGTGTTTGCAAGGTGTTTGCAAGGTATTTGCAAGGTGCTTGCAAAGTGCTTGCAAAGTGTTTGAAAGGTGTTTGCAAAGTGTTTGCAACGTGTTTGCAAAGTGTTTGCAAGGTATTTGCAAGGTGCTTGCAAAGTGTTTGCAAGGTGTTTGCAAAGTGTTTGCAACGTGTTTTCAAAGTGTTTGCAAGGTGTTTGCAAAGTGTTTGCAAAGTGTTTGCAAGGTGCAAGTGCTTGCAACGTGTTTGCAAAGTGTTTGCAAAGTGTTTGCAAGGTGTTTGCAAGGTGTTTGCAAAGTGTTTGCAACGTGTTTGCAAGGTGTTTGCAAGGTGTTTGCAAAGTGTTTGCAAAGTGTTTGCAAAGTGTTTGCAAGGTGTTTGCAAAGTGTTGCAAGGTTTGCAAAGTGTTTGCAAAGTGTTTGCAAAGTGTTTGCTAGGTGTTTGCAAAGTGTTTGCAACGTGTTTGCAAAGTGTTTGCAAGTGCTTGCAAGGTATTTGCCAGGTGTTTGCAAAGTGTTTGCAAAGTGTTTGCAAGGTGTTTGCAAGGTGTTTGCAAAGTGTTTGCAGCGCGTTTGCAAGGTGTTTGCAAGGTGTTTGCAAAGTGTGTGCAAAGTGTTTGCAAAGTGTTTGCAAAGTGTTTGCAAAGTGTTTGCAAAGTGTTTGCAAAGTGTTTGCAAGGTGTTTGCAAGGTGTTTGCAAAGTGTTTGCAAAGTGTTTGCAAAGTGTTTGCAAGGTTTTGCAAAAAGTGTGTTTGCAAAGTGTGTTTGCAAACTGTGTTTTGCAAGGTGTTTGCAAAGTGTTTGCAAGGTATTTGCAAGGTGCTTGCAAAGTGTTTGCAAAGTGTTTGCAAGGTGTTTGCAAAGTGTTTGCAACGTGTTTGCAACGTGTTTGCCACGTGTTTGCAAAGTGTTTGCAACGTGTTTGCAAGGTGTTTGCAAAGTGTTTGCAAGGTGTTTGCAAGGTGTTTGCAAAGTGTTTGCAAGGTGTTTGCAAGGTGTTTGCAAAGTGTTTGCAAAGTGTGTGCAAAGTGTTTGCAAAGTGTTTGCAAAGTGTTTGCAAGGTGTTTGCAAGGTGTTTGCAAGGTGTTTGCAAGGTGTTTGCAAAGTGTTTGCAAAGTGTTTGCAAGGTGTTTGCAAAGTGTTTGCAACGTGTTTCCAAGGTGTTTGCAAGGTGTCTGCAAAGTGTTTGCAACGTGTTTGCAAGGTGTTTGCAAAGTGTTTGCAACGTGTTTGCAAGGTGTTTGCAAAGTGTTTGCAAGGTGTTTGCAAAGTGTTTGCAAAGTGTTTGCAAGGTGTTTGCAAGGTGTTTGCAAAGTGTTTGCAACGTGTTTGCAAGGTCTTTGCAAAGTGTTTGCAAAGTGTTTGCAAAGTGTTTGCAAAGTGTTTGCAAAGTGTTTGCAAAGTGTGTGCAAGGTGTTTGCAAGGTGTTTGCAAAGTGTTTGCAACGTGTTTGCAAAGTGTTTGCAAAGTGTTTGCAAGGTGTTTGCAAAGTGTTTGCAAAGTGTTTGCAAGGTGTTTGCAAGGTGTTTGCAAGGTGTTTGCAAAGTGCTTCCAAAGTGTTTGCAAAGTGTTTCCAAAGTGTTTCCAAAGTGTTTGCCAAGTGCTTGCAAAGTGTTTGCAAAGTGTTTGCAAAGTGTTTGCAAAGTGTTTGCAAAGTGTTTGCAAAGTGTTTCCAAAGTGTTTGCAAAGTGTTTGCCGAAAGCTTGCAAAGTGTTTGCAAAGTGTTTGCAACGTGTTTGCAAAGTGTTTGCAAAGTGTTTGCAAAGTGTGTGCAAAGTGTGTGCAAAGTATTGGCAAAGTGTTTGCAAAGTGTTAGCAAAGTGTATGGAAAGTCTTTGCCAAGCGTTTGCAAAGTATTGGCGAAGTGCTTAAAAATTGCTTGTGAAGTGTTTACAAAGTGTTTGCAAAGTGTTTGCAAAGTGTTTGCAACGTGTTTGCGAGGTGTTTGCAAGGTGTTTGCAAGGTGTTTGCAAGGTGTTTGCAAAGTGTTTGCAAAGTGTTTGCGAAGTGTTTGCAAGGTGTTTGCAAGTTGTTGGCAAGCTGTTTGCAACGTGTTTGCAACGTGTTTGCAAAGTGTTTGCAACGTGTTTGCAAGGTGTTTGCAAAGTGTTTGCAAAGTGCTTGCAAAGTGTTTGCAAAGCGTGTGCAAAGTGTTTGCGAAGTGTGCGCAAAGCGCGTGCAAAGCGTGTGCAAAGCGTGTGCAAAGCGTGTGCAAAGCGTGTGCAAAGCGTGTGCAAAGTGTTTGCAAAGTGTTTGCAAAGTGTTTGCGAAGTGTTTGCAAAGTGTTTGCAAAGTGTTTGCGAAGTGTTTGCAAAGTGTTTGCAAAGTGTTTTGCAAGGTGTTTGCAAAGTGTTTGCAAGGTGTTTGCAAAGTGTTTGCAAAGTGTTTCCAAAGTGTTTGCAAAGTTTTTGCCAAGTGCTTGCAAAGTGTTTGCAAAGTGTTTGCAACGTGTTTGCAAAGTGTTTGCAAAGTGTTTGCAAAGTGTTTGCAAAGTGTTTGCAAAGTGTGTGCAAGGTGTTTGCAAGGTGTTTGCAAAGTGTTTGCAAAGTGTTTGCAAAGTGTTTGCAAGGTATTTGCAAGGTGCTTGCAAAGTGTTTGCAAAGTGTTTGCTAGGTGTTTGCAGAGTGTTTGCAAAATGTTTGCAAGGTGTTTGCGAGGTGTTTGCAAGGTGTTTGCAAGTTGTTTGCAAGGTGTTTGCAAGGTGTTTGCAAGGTGTTTGAAGGGTATTTGGAAAGTGTTTCCAAAGTGTTTGCAAGGTATTTGCAAAGTGCTTGCAAAGTGTTTGCAAAGCCTGTGCAAAGTGTGCGCAAAGCGTGTGCAAAGTGTGTGCAAAGCGTGTGCAAAGTGTTTGCAAAGTGTTTGCAAAGTGTGTGCAAAGTGTGTGCAAAGTGTTTGCAAAGTGTTTGCGAAGTGTTTGCGAAGTGTTGCAAAGTGTTTGCGAAGTGTTTGCAAAGTGTTTGCGAAGAGTTTGTTGCGAAGTGTTTGCAAAGTGTTTGCGAAGTGTTTGCGAAGTGTTTGCGAAGTGATTGCGAAGTGATTGCAACGTGTGCAAAGTGTGTGCAAAGTGTTTGCAAAGTGTTTGCGAAGTGTTTGCGAAGTGTTTGCAAAGTGTTTGCGAAGTGTTTGCAAAGTGTTTGCGAAGTGTTTGCGAAGTGTTTGCGAAGTGGTTGCAACGTGTGCAGAGTGTGTGCAAAGCGTTTGCAAAGTATTTGCGAAGTGCTTAAAAATTGCTTGTGAAGTGTTTACAAAGTGTTTGCAACGTGTTTGCAACGTGTTTGCAAAGTGTTTGCAAAGTGTTTGCAAAGCGTTTGCAAAGTGTTTGCAAAGTGTTTGCAAAGTGCTTCAAAATTGCTTGTGAAGTGTTTACCAAGTGTTTGCAACGTGTTTGCAAAGTGTTTGCGAAGTGTTTGCGAAGCGTTTGCGAAGTGTTTGCAAAGTGTGTGCGAAGTGTTTGCAAAGTGTGCGCAAAGCGTGTGCAAAGCGTGTGCAAAGCGTGTGCAAAGCGTGTGCAAAGCGTGTGCAAAGGGTTTGCAAAGTGTTTGCAAAGTGTTTCCAAAGTGTTTGCAAAGTGTTTGCCAAGTGCTTGCAAAGTGTTTGCAAAGTGTTTGCAAAGTGTTTGCAACGTGTTTGCAAAGTGTTTGCAACGTGTTTGCAACGTGTTTGCAAAGTGTTTGCAGGCACTGAAAGCATGGTTTCTGAAAGGCCATGAATTTAGGGGGGCGGACCATAGGTACACAGTGTAGGTACGTGGGTGCGGTGTAGGTATGATGGGTGCGGTGGTGGGTGCGATGGGTGCGCTGGTAGGTACGGTTGTGGGTATGTGGGTACGATGTGTAGGTACGATGGGTGCGTTGGTAGGTGCGTTGCTGAGTGCAATGGGTTGGTTGGTAGGTACAGTGGTGGGTGCATAGCTGCGATGGGTAGGTGCGATGGGCGCATTGAGAGGTGTAATGGGTGCGCTGGTAGGTACGATGGTGAGTGCGTGGGTGCGATCTGTAGGTGCAATGGGCACACTGAGATGTGGGATGGGTCCGGATGGTATGCGTGGGTGCGATGTATGAGTGCGATGGGCGGGTTGGGAGGTGCAATGATGGGTGCGGATATGTACGGACGGTAGGTTTGTGGGCACGATGTGTAGGTGCGATGGTGCGATAGTGTTGCAGGGTGCGCCAATAGTTGCGGGTGCGTTGGTAACTATATAGGTGGGTTGATAAGTGTCTTGATAGGTGCATTGGGGCTAGGTGGGTGTATAGTTGATCGAGATGAGGAACATAGTTCTGTGTTAGTGCAGCCAATGCCAGTGCGACACAGTTACTGGCTTCTTAATCTGATCATCCTTGCTGAAACAGGCGCTCTGGACCATCTTCAAACTGGTACTGTATATTTTCATGCTTAGGGTTGATTGTTCAACATGATTATCTCTGACCAGCATTTTACATTTAGAATTTTTGGTGGGTTTTGTGTAGCGGCGTAGTGCTTTTCAGCACAAAAACATCGAACACATTGAACTTCAAGGCTAATTGGAGTCCATGGTTGGAATGGCAGCCTTCTTTTGTGCCATGCATGGATATGCATGGTTTCCTTTGCTTGCTGAATCTTCTATAAAATTGGATGTGCGCTCTGGGCCTTGATTTCGAAAAATCAGAACTGGACAAGTGCTGCGTTGCACATCTACTCAAAAGAAACAACAACTACAGCAGCTACAGCCATACAGCATACAGCTATTTCAAAAATTCAAGCTCACCTCATGTGCAAAGGGGTGGACTTGCAAAACACCAAAAGCCAAAATGACAAACCGTTGCAAACAAAACACAGAACATACACAAACAAGCAAACAAAACAACAAAATCCAACATTCAAAAGCACCTTAAACAATGAACGCATATTTTTGTCAATCTGGTTTTAATGCCCAACATTTGGTTGAATTTCCTGTTTTTTTTCCGGATCAAATTCATTTTGCTTTAACTCTTGATGATTTGCATGTCTTTTCCCTGTTCCGGGCTTGGGTTAAGCCAGAATAGACAGTCATTTGTTTGCTAAAGTTTGAGAACGTATCAGCCACAGGCTTGGGTGAGTCATTTTTATCGTTTTGTTTCATTTTGATTGTGATGTGGTTTTCTCATCTTCTGTTATCATCTTTAGAACAGTTTTCATTTGTTTCATGTCAAAATTGCGGATGGTCAGCCAGCTTCTTAGTGTGAACACGTCTGCAGGTCCTTGTGCCCAAGGGCTCAGCCGTGCATGATCCAAAGACCAAGGAAAATAAAGAGAGAGAAAGTGGAAACATGAATTCCAAAGGAGAAATATGGAAACAAACTGAATCCCAAAGGTGGAAAGACATAAACGCCGGAATCCCACATGAAACAAACATGAAAAAAGGAAAAGAAAGGAATAGCATGAACCAAAATAAAAGACGGAAACAAAAAACAAAACATAACTTGAAAAAGTTGTTTTTCCAGGATTTTCTTGGAAGGTGCAACGGGACAATGGGCGCGGCTAGCTGGTACACAGGTGCAATGTACAGGGTACATGGGTGCAACCAGCTGGTACAGCGGTGCAACTAGCGGATACATTGCTACATACTGGCAAAGCACTGTGCGTACTTTTGCAGACCGTTTTCCCTACCTATCACAGCTTTGCTGCAAAAACCATTGCCTCAAACCTAGCAGCAAAAAAAATTACTTGGTACATTTTGGACTTGAGGCTTTTGTAGGCGACAGAAACAATCAGCTTCAAGCAAAAAAAGAGAATGACAAAAATGCATCCAGCCGGGCAAACTCTGTTGGGTCTGGTTTGGGCCATGTTCAAACTGTTTTTCTTCATGACTCTACACTTGTCGTTTTATTCACTCATTGGTATTATTTGCATTTTCATTTTCTTTTTAAGCTAAGCAATCAAATGTGTTTCGGACCGTCGGACCATCATGAATCATGTTTCCCTTAATACTTATTCTTTTTTGTTTGGTTTGACCCCGTGATTTTCAGAAAAAAAACATCGAACACATTGAACTTCAAGGCTAATTGGGGTCCATGGTTGGAATGGCAGCCTTCTTTTGTGCCATGCATGGATATGCATGGTTTCCTTTGCTTGCCGAATCTTCTATAAGATTGGATGTGCGCTCTGGGCCTTGAATTCTCAAACATAGGACTGAAAATTTGAGTCCCAATCCGATTGGGCAAGTTCCAGCTAGGCTTGGACCAAACTCAAAAGTAACAAAAACTACAGCAGCTACAGCCATACAACATACAGCTATTTCAAAAATTCAAGCTCACCTCATGTGCAAAAGGGTGGACTTGCAAAACACCAAAAGCCAAAATGACAAACCGTTACAAACAAAACACAGAACATACACAAACAAACAAACAAAACAACAAAATCCAACATTCAAAAGCACCTTAAACAATGAACGCATATTTTTGTCAATCTGGTTTTAATGCCCAACATTTGGTTGAATTTCCTGTTTTTTTTCCGGATCAAATTCATTTTGCTTTAACTCTTGATGATTTGCATGTCTTTTCCCTGTTCCGGGCTTGGGTTAAGCCGGCATAGCCATTTATTTGTTTGCTAAAGTTTGAGAACGTATCAGCCACAGACTTGGGCGAGTCATTTTTATCGTTTTGTTTCATTTTGATTGTGATATGGTTTTCTCATCTTCTGTTATCATCTTTAGAACGGTTTTCATTTGTTTCATGTCAAAATTGCGGATGGTCAGCCAGCTTCTTAGTGTGAACACGTCTGCAGGTCCTTGTGCCCAAGGGCTCAGCCGTGCATGATCCAAAGACCAAGGAAAATAAAGAGAGAGAGAAAGTGGAAACATGAATTCCAAAGGAGAAATATGGAACCAAACTGAACCCCAAAGGGGGAAACACATAAAAGCCGGAATCCCACATGAAACAAACATGAAACAAACATGAAAAAAGGAAAAGAAAGGAACAACATGAACCAAAATAAATGACGGAAACAAAAAACAAAATATACCCTGGAAAAGTTGTTTGTTTTTAGGATTTCCATGGAAAACAAGTAGGGCACCATGAATTTATATAGGTATTTCCCGCCGGGGACTAAAACTTAGGACCTAGGACTCACGACCCAGGATGTGGACATCTAAGAATCTAATCCAAAATTGATTTAGGTTGTTGAAAACAATTTTTCACGTTTGGTGAGCTGTGACAGCTTGCGCAGGAATTTCACTGGATTTTTCATCTTCCGCACCCCATTGCAAACACCTGCAGTCAAAAACAAAGAACGTCCCAAAGTCCCAACCAAGAGACGAGAAACGCCCAACAGGAAAAATGATGATTGCGATGATAATATATGGCATGGGAGATGACAAAAAACTGAAAATCAGATGTAGGATATTATGAAAGCGGGCCCAAGTGGGATAACATGAGCACAAACAGATTGTAATTTCCAGAACTCGGCTGGGAAAAAACATGTGTTTGAAGTCCCGAGGGTCCAAGAATGAAACTCACAGCTACGATCCACCTGTGTGTAGTTTGATTGTCCTTCTTCTTTCTCACACACACACAGTGTTTGAGGAAAAATGGTACAGCGGCCTCTTGCCCTTGCTGGCGCCCAGATTTCCAAACAAACACTCTTCAGAATTCAATATTTCTCAACAACCACTTGTCAAAATAAAATGAACATATTCTTAATGAACATATATATCATGATGAAAAATGCCAGAAACATGTTCAGCAAGAAGACGTTAAACACTGAAAACCACACAAAAACCGTTTGGCAACTTCGCCATACCCAGGCTGCTGCAAACCTTGCAAAATCAAAACCTGCAGCACTAGTCAAACACTGTTGCGCCGATCTAGAACATCGCGCCATTGCCTCCCCTACATTGTACCATTGCATCCCAAATACTTGCACCATTGTACCCCCTACGTCGTGCCAATGTACCATCTACATTGTGCCACTGCACCCCCTACATCGTACCATTGTACCCCCTACATCATACCATTGGACTCCCCACACCGTACCATTGTACCCTCTACTTCGTACCATTGTACCCCCTGTATCGTACCATTGCACCCCCTACATCGCACCATCGCGCCCCATTTATCGTACCATTGCACCTCCTTTATCATACCATTGCACCCCTACATCGTATCGCACCATTGTATCCCTCGTACTGCACCTCTTGTACCTGGTGTACCTGCATCACCGCACTACTGCGCTGTCTTCTCTGCACCATCGCGCCTGTACTTCGCACCCCCATACCTGCGCTTCGTGCCCCTTGAAAATTACCATCGTGCCTACCTCCAGACTACCTCTCAGAGCAGTGTTTTTGAAATTTGATAAGCAAAGTGTTCATTGTGGGCGCAGGAGGTGCGCAATTTGATTTTCAAAAAAGCAGCCACTTGCAGCCTCTTGCGATCATGCAGCCACTTGCAGCCACTTGCAGCCACTTGCAGCCACTTGCAGCCACCTGCCCAAGCAGCCGCAAGTGACTGCAAGTGGCTGCAAGTGACTGCTTTTTCGAAAATCAACATCATACACCTTTGCTCGCTCTGTGAAAGTGTTTGCAAAGTGGTTGCGATGTTTGGATCCGGTGTCGGGATGGTGGATGCGTGCCGCCCAAAGAGCTCAACTGGCCGGCAGGACCGCGGAGGAGCCCCCCTGGAGGAGCACCAAGGCACATGAAACAACGGATGACACGACACAACGCAGACAACGCAAGACGAGGGAACGGGGCAGACTGGTGACCTTCCATCGATAAACAGGATAAAGTGCTTTCAAGGTCCTGAAAGTGATAGGGAGAGCAGAAGGACAGGCTCAAGCAAGGGCAGAGAGGAAACAGGAGAAAAGGATGGAAAGACTCGTAAAGACCCTGTACCATCATGTAACATACTGAAGTGCAAACCAATGAATTCCCGTTTGATGCTACATATTTGCATCGTGTCTGGGTAGCATCATCCCTTTCGGTGGCTCCATTTGTGAGCCTGTTGAGCTTGCTGCTTGGAGGCCTGAGGCATTTGCTGCACCCAGAAGAGATGTCTGCCATCTCTACAGCACCATGTCAGGGCCTCGAAGCAGTACGTTCGAAAGCCGCATATCGTTTGATGGACATATGAACATTTTTCATTGTTATTTGTTGTTAGTCATCAATTGCTGTTCGAGAGTCTTGGCGACCACAGCAGTAACGCAACCCCAGAATTGCATACTGGGAACACAGACGAAAGGTCTCAGACGAAGCTGGCCAGCAGCTGCAGTTTTCCTTTCCTGTCCTTTATGCATGGCACTTTTTACTGGACAGATGAAAAGCAGAGCAGGGCAGAGGCAGAGAGAAGAGAAAGATTAGAAGAGAGAAGATCAGAGAAGAGAAAAAGTCAGAAGAAAGAAGATGCAGATGCGCGAAAAGGTAGGAAAGTCGCGAAACACTGTGTTTTTCCAATGATTTGTGGCGCCGGAGGGTCGAAAAGTAGGCTCGCTAAAGCGGCGGGTGCGGAGCCATCTGGCCAGATGAGAGATGAACAATTGCACGCCGTTGTGGCGCGAAGCACATTTCAAAGTCAAAATGTACAAAGCACACCATGATCGGACCACTTTTGGAAGTTGAGATGTCGAAAAAGTGCACGCCGTTGTGGCACGAAGCACATTTCCAAGTCAAAATGTACAAAACACCTCAGCGTCGGACTACTTTTGGAAGTTGAGATGTCAAAAAAGTGCACGTCCTTGTGGCGCGAAGTACATTTCGAAGTCAAAATGTACGAAACACCTCAGTGTCGGACCGCTTTTGGAAGTTGAGATGTCGGAAAAGTGCACGCCGTTGTGGCGCGAAGCACATTTCGAAGTCAAAATGATAAAAGCACCAGGGGTTCGGACCACTTTTGGATGTTGAGATGTCGTTCCGCGTGGCAGGTGCAAGGGATTGTGGATCTTGTCAAAAGTGAGCAAAACGTGAGGGTTTTGTAGCATTTTCAACTACAACCACCACTACACCACACTACACTCCAATACACTACACTACACCTTCAATACATTACACTACACTACACTCCACTACACTCCGCTACACTACATTCAATTACATTCAATTACTCTCAGTTACACTACACTACACTACACTGCACTTTGCTACACTGCACTACACTACACTACATTCCACTACACTACAATACATGACACTCCACTACACTCCACTCCACTACGCTACACTACACTACATTCCACTACACTACAGTACATTACACTACACTACACTCCACTACGCTACACTACAGCTACACTACACTACAACTACACTACACTACATTACACTACACTACATTCCATTACGCTCCACTACACGACACTCAATTACGCTACACTACATTACACTACACTACACTACAGTACACTACACTACACTACAACTACAACGACAACGACAACTGCAACCGCAACTGCAACTGCAACTACAACAATACTACATTTACACTACGCTACACTGCACTACACTAATTACACTACACTACACTCCACTACACTACACTGAATAACACTGCACTACACCTACAGCTACAACTGCAACTGCAACTACAACAACACTACATTTACGCTACACTACACTACACTACACTACGCTATGCTACACTGCACTACACTACACTACGCTACGCTACGCTACACTGCACTACACTACACTACACTACAGTACAGTACACTACAGTACACTACAGTACACTACAGTACACTACAGTACACTACAGTACACTACAGTACACTACTGTACACTACAGTACACGACAGTACACTACACTACACTACACTGCACTACACTGCACTTTGCTACACTGCACTACACTACACTACATTCCACTACACTACAATACATGACACTCCACTACACTCCACTCCACTACGCTACACTACACTACATTCCACTACACTACAGTACATCACACTACACTACACTACACTACACTACACTACACTACACTACACTACACTACACTACACTACACTACACTACACTACACTACACTACACTACACTACACTAATTACACCACACTGCGCTACACGACACGACAGAGAGAGATAGATGGATGCATAGATAGATAGATGGGTAGGTAGGTAGATGGTCAGAGAAAGAGACAGAAAGAGAGAGAAAGAGAAGAGACCTCAACCACTTTTCGGTCCATCAGTGGCTTCGCTCTGCCATCCGTGATTCACAACAACCAACCTCTCCTATAGGTTTCCTGTTTTTGAAACTTCCGCCACCGCCTTGTGCGGTACTACTGGTAGTGTGACAAGACCGGGAGCTTTCAATGTATTTCTATTTCCCCCACCACTAGTGCAGCGAGGCTCCGTTCTGTTTGGCAATGCCTTGTTTTAGCTTTTGCAGCGCACTTCTAGAACAGGTAAAACTTGTTTTTCCGTTTGGGCAATCCAGTGACCTAAGGAGGAAAGAAGGGTAGACACATGTTTCACATGATGATTAAATAAAGAGGGGGGGTATGTGTACTGAGTCCGACTATACCTCCCGAATCCTCCCGAAGTGGGCAAGCAGTCAGGAGTTTCTAGGCGTCAGGTAGTGCTTACCTTCGGGTTTCTCTTGGTCATCTGATGCAGAAATCGCAGCACCTTGAATTAGATCCTCTCAGATCTTCTCATGCAGCAAGTTACGGATGTTTCGGAGCTGTGAGGTCCCGTCTTGGACGGAAAGACGGACGAGGATTGCTTAGTTGTGCGGTGGCTCAGAGCGCTCAGGGTTCAGAGCGGGCAGGGACCTGCCAGGCCAAGCCTTGGATCAGATTTTCACAGGTCGAAGGGGTCAAAGGGACAGCGAAGGCAGCAAGAAAAATGTTGCACCGCTTACCATTTGTCATCCGAGGTTGGTACCACTGCGTTCGGGATTCCCAGTAGATGATCCAGGGTTTGTGGTGGCGAGCCGCTATTTAATGTTTCATGTCCTACATCATTGAGATTCATTGAGCGTTGAAATTAACTGATTGTGCAGTCATTATTTGTTCAGGCTTACAGTAATAAGAAATAAACCTTTTGCCAGAGAACTGTGCTGGTACCCCCCCGGCCAAGGAGGCGCCTGGTGCAGCTTGCGCGTGGGCGGCAAATGCAAGATTCCGATGACATTTGGTTACCCAGGCACCCCTGCTTGCCTTGAAAATGATTCCCACGCAGGCTACGAAGGGACTTTGAATGGACTTTGAAGGGACCTCTAAAGTGCAAAGGACCAAAGGATTTAATTCTTGGGACGGGGTGAAGCTCTTGCTAGTGACTAGTGGTGCCAAGACTGCCAAAGGCCCAGAAGAAAAATAAAGACAACCAAATCCAGAAAGCATCCGGTCGTGGGTTCCGAACAAACATCTCACTGCGCTCTAGAAACTCAATGAAACTCAGAAACTCATGGCATCTTGCAACGCCTGTTTGCAGGCGGCTTCTGCAACGCTCTGGGGAAGAGCCTTTGGGCCCCGGAGCGCCGCGGCACCCAGAATTCTGATCCATGCAGTACAAGGGGCAAAGTGGAGCGAATGAACGGGAGGAAATGGCAATCTTAAAATGTCTAAAAAAATCAAATATCATTCTGCATGTCGGACTCTGTCAGACCAATGTGTACTCTTCCAGTGAACCCCAGAGGCTGAAGCCACTCTCATGGTTAAAGGCTCCTATGTAGTTTTTGTGGTTTCTTCAGCAAACCAATCTTGGCAGGTTCGCAGCATTCGGGAAGAAATATCTAGGCACGATGGCAGCATCATACATCACGGTTGCGGGCCAACTAACGCGTCAAATTCGTTTTAGAGAAAGTTGTCAATCCCGAGATCGCGATTGGAATCAATGAGCAAAGTCCTCACCTCATGGAGGCTCTCTTAATCAGAGTTGCGATTGCCACACCTGGCGACAGATTTGGTTCGATGTACTTTCTATTTTTCGGCTGATCCAACTTCTTGTTTCAGGAGTGTTGCAAAAAGATGTCTCTCGGTTGCAGGGAAAGTGGCACTGATGCTCATGGGAATGCAAGTTTAGCAACTTACCGGGCGTCATGGTGAACTTACCGGGTTCTGGGCCAGTTTGGTACTGTGCCCTTTGCAACTTGTTGTCCTTTGCTTTTCCCTGTTCGATCTCTATGATCTTTATGCAGAGGCGACTGTTTCCCATTCAATCATTTCGATCAAGAGCAAAGCTTTGAAGGAAACAGCTTTGACTAGCAACACTTAGTGGCAAAACTGCACTCTAACCAACTCGACATCTCAAATGAAAGGCAGCCAGTGTTCAATAGAGCCCAATTCAAATAACCAAACAAAAGAAATGCAGCTGAACTTGCGCTTTGATATCGTTGCGCGTATGCTGCCGTATGCTGGAAGGAGCCGCAAGATGAATGGGACGCTAAGGCAAACAGCATTGCCGTCCTCGACCTTTCCGCTGGCGGTCGCTCCTCAGCTGCAGGTTGTCAAACATTGTAACACTATTGTAACCAAGTCTTTGACACTTAGAGTCACTTGCAACTGCGCTGAGTGTTGAGAATCTCATGTGAACCCTCATGACAATAACAACTTGCAGTAAGTGAGGTTTCTAGGACGCAACAATCCTAGTATCTGGCTTGGATGGAACAACAACCTTGACATGGTTCAGGTTCATTTTAAGCAATCGCGTCTTTGGAACATAGAATCTATATACAACCTGATAACGATGAACCTGATGAACAACCTTCAGATTCTATAGATGTGCCAGTGCCCATTGATATTGACTAGAGATGGTTGCTCGCTGCAGAGCTGATCAACACATGAACAAATGATGGGGCCATGCAACCGATCCTTTCAAGATCTTTCAAACATTTAAATTCAACACCATCCTCTTTCCACACTATCTGATCATATCTGATCATATCTGATCATATCTGATCATATCTGATCACTATCCTCAAGCTGCTCAAGCCCCAGGAACTGTGGGGCAGTGGAGTTTGCCTCGACCTTCAGAGGCTTGCGACAGGTTTGATAAATGGTATGGCGGCATTAGTGCGAGCTGCGGTATGTGAAAGCTGGTTCAGGGCCCCAAGTGACCAAGTGCAAAAAAGTTGGAACAGAAAAGTAGGGAGAAGGGAGACTATTTTTGACAATTCATGAATAATTTCCTTTGAAACCTATGTTTCTTGCAATTTGTTCATGAGTCCGTGGTTGCCTTTTCTTGGCTCATGAATGGGCTGTCAAGGAAGTGGAGGCAAAGTGGGAGGAGACCCCAACGGAAACATGGGATCCACCAGTGGCGACTGGTTGTTGTGGAAATTCTAGTCTTATCATGTCTTATCATGTCTTATCATGTCTTATCATGTCTTATCATGGCTTATCATGTCTTATCATGTCTTATCATGTCTTATCATGTCTTATCATGTCTTATCATGTCTTGTCATGGAAGGGTAGCATGGAAGAGGACTGATGAATCCTGGCGTCTAGTGCGTACTACTATGTACTACTGTAAATGAAGCAAACATGATCCCGACATCGTGGATAGAACGCATAGATGATCAATGGTAAAACAAATCACGCGGAAGTACCAGGAGAGAAGATTGCCCACATGCTTACCTGATCTTACCTGGACATCCTCGGAGCTGGTTCAGGATTTATCAGAATTTAGATAATTTAGTTTAATCTTCATGGCACAGTATTTCCGTGTTGAGCGCAATACTGGCTATACACACTACTAGTACATCACACTACTATAAAATCATACAAAATTCACGATATTAATCCATGATCTATGCTCTTCCAAGCTTGCCAGGCAAAGGATGACGCAGGCCCGATTCTGCGGGACTGGGGCCAAGGATGGCCGTGGGTTGGAGGCCGCAGTGCTCTCAGATTGAACCAAGACTTGATTTTCAAGTGGAGTTGGTACGTCTGGCTTTGACTGTTTCTTGAGTCTTCCTTTTGTATATAGTATCAGCATGTACTGTATCAGCTATATATAACCTGTTTCAGATATCCATCGACGGGAAAGTCTGAAGCTGCAACAACCGAATGCTTCCAGCAGCCCTCCGGGGCTCTCAGCAAATTACCAGACGACGCTCTTGCTTACAAGAGTCTTACAAGAGTTTTACAAGAGCCCTTACAATCCTCAAAACTTACGTATATTATATACCTTCCTTGTTAACGGAGATATCAAGGGCAAGAGTAGAATCTTTGCAACGCTTGCTCTTGATAAAAATAGAGCTGAATGTTGCTGTCCCTTTGCTTGTCTCGAAACCGACATGCTTTGCCACCGTTTGCCCAAGATATGCACTGTGCAAGCAAGAATCAAATTAAAGGGTGCTTGAGGTGCTTGTATTATCCGAGAATCCGACCTACATTTTCCCCAAAAATCATTTTCCTTGCCTTTAGGCGGACATTACCTGTACCTTCTCCTTGCCAGGCTTCAGTGGCCTGTGTGCCAGTGATGAAGCGCTTTTCGCGCTGCAGGCACATGAAACGCACGGTGAGCATCATAGGCACATCATAGTTCTATCAGTTATATCATAGACTCATAGATATCACAGTTTGCATTAGTGCTAGGCAGTGCTTCGCAATGCTGCCTCGCAGTGCTGCTTTGCAGCTACACTTTGCAGTGCTGCTTTGCAGCTACATAGTCTGGTGATGCACTCTGTTGCAGGCTGGGCCTGCACCCTCCGTTTGGCGATTTCCACATCCGCTTGGCCGAGTGTGAAGCACTGAGAGCCTTGAAGCACCTGACAGCGTGAGGAAAGAAAAGGGTGTGCTTTGCCGCCCATAGATCAGATCAGCCAGTGGCAGCCAGGATTGTCCGCAGGTTACATCCACTTCTATAGCCTATAGCAATGAAATTTCTATTCTACACTCCTGTTGGAGACCAACTTGTGCAAGAACACCATGAGGAAAGACCTGGTTTTTGATGATTTTGATGGTTTTGAATACATGCGAGTGTGAAATAGAGCCGAACCATCGCAGTGGCAAGTTTCAGTGCCGTGGCCCTGAACTAAAGTCCCTTGTTGTAGATGGAAAGTACTTCTGAGCCCGACCTCATTTTAAAGTGATGCTGTAAAAATATTGAAAGATACTGTAAAAGGATATCTATCACCAGGGCTACGGCCTATAGCGATATTCAAAAGGAGTGGGTGGCGAAGAGAACAGAATTTAGACCGACAAAGCACTCGAGTGCATGGGCAATCTGGAAACACCTATATACTATATATATATGTTATATTCACGAAAGCTCATGGTAGCTAGCTGGAGTTGTGCCTTTGCTTAAACAGGCTAGCTTTGGGCCGGGTCAGCCCCCATCACATTTCTTAAATCGCATCCCATCTCGTCATATCATTGAATCATATCTTATCATTTCTCACCATCTCATACATCATCTGCCATCATTTTCCACATCTCTCGACATCCCGCTTCTTCAACCCAGTGAAAACTCGCTGCCCTATTGCATAGCTTTTGTCCACCCCCGGGCCTCAAGTCGTCTTGTCGACATTTCTCGACATTACCACTTTTTGTGTTTTTCAATTTTAAAACACGTTCGACGCGCTGCGATGCCAAATCCATGGTGCTGTACCTGACCTAGCTGTCGTAGCTTGATATTTCCGAACTTCCCATACTTTTTTTGCTTGACACTCTCGCAATCTCTCGCATCTTTGCACCTGAAAAGCGCAACGTGGTAACAGTAATCAGTAAACAAATGCTTTGCCAGGTACGCCTGTGATTTTCTGACGAAACGCTGAGCCAGATGGCCTAACTCGGCACAAAGCAGCTGGAGGGTTTTCGTGCAGTTGAGAGAACGAAGAAGAAGCATGCGGCCTGCAAAAGCTCGGATAGCCGCCAACAAGCAAGGGCAAAAACCATCAAAAACCCACTCAAATTCCACTTTTTTGGTCCTTATGATCTACTTGGATCCCTGGGCCAGGGAATCCCCACCTATTTTGTACTGGAACCGTTGCTTCGTATGTTTGATGTTGGCTTCAGAGACGCCATTGCCCTTTGTGAATCGCCTTTTCCCAAGAGCAGCTCCGGTGAGGTTGCCGGACGGTCCATTTTAGGAATTCTACACATTCAAGATTGAAGCTGCCCTGCGACACACTGGTGCTTTGACATCGCAGGAAGAAAATCCAACTTCGCCTACCAAACCCACGTCAAGGCTGTGCTCATAACATCTCATAACCATGCACCACTAATGTAATTGCAATAGTTTTGAACTGTTTTGAATGATATAGAGGCTGCTGCCAGCCGCAGAGATATCAAATATGCAACACCAATATGCAATATCACTATGACACACAGTAGATTATATTTGTATACTGGTGCTTGTATAGCATAAATGAGATAAATTAACATACAACACAAACCAACACATAAATGTGGCGCATGTAAACATAAATCATCACAAACAATTAAAAATCATTACAAATCCATTTCTGTTTCACGTATGTTTGGTTCGTATATATTTCCCGTGTTTCTCTTATGTGTTGTTTGTGTTCCGTTTGTGTTTGCCAAAACCCTCAGATCATGCTTTCGGAAATGAGATCTTAGATTTTCCTCTGACATAAGTGCCGCGTAAGTAAAACGGGTTCCAGACATATGTGAAACATATGGGAAACGCAAAACTCGCATGCGTGTCCATTTCTAGGACTACTGTGATGCCTTGTTTACAGAAAGGCTGGCTTCATGTTTGTTTTGATGAGCAAAGTTTGTTTTGGGCTGGTGTGGTCATAATTTTCGAAAAGAAACCTTTGCCGCTGTTGTTTGTTTCCTGCTGAGTCGCACTAGCGTGCCAAAACTGTTCAAGTTTTGTTTCTTTCAACAGCAGGTTTACTTGTTTGTGTTCCTGCGCACTATAGTAGGGTGAGCTCTAGCGCAAAGACCGCCACAGAGGGATCATGCATTAATCAGAAGCGAACCATATATTAGGTTTCGACAAGTGCATACTAAACCGAAAGCACTTGCCTTAAACAGATCATGAAACCATTCCATGCAAGCTATGACGACGCGCAGGCGGCAGCCACCGCAACCACCACCAGAAACATAACCCAACCTGCAAGTCAATCACCCAGGAAAGGCTCAGCTGTGGGCAGTGGACGGAAACATCACAATGAAACTTTCAAGACAATGAACATGATCTGTATGCCACTGTATGCAAACCCCGCACTCAGCACACATGCTCTGTTCATGCTTCACCGTGTTGCACATGTGTTGCGCTTATATGTTTCACATGTATCGTGCTTCTGTTTCATACACATGTTTTGCTTACAGTCGTGTATGTGTCATTCATGTGTTAACGGTGTTTCACTTGTGCTTTACCAATGTTTCACTTATGTTTTGCTTATGTTTCACTTATGCTTCACTTATGCTTCACTTACGTTTTACTTATGTTTCACTCATTTTTTCTTATTGTTTGCCTATGTTTTACTTAATAAGTTTCACTCATTTACTATGTTTACCCATATTATCTCATTTTTCCCTTATGTTATTCTTATGTTTCACTGTGTTTCACTATTTCTTTTCTCACGTTTCACACATGCTTTGCTTATGTTTCACATTTGTTTTTACTCCCGCATAGGTATGGTTTGTATTTATGTCATGTCCCGGCTGCCCTCTACAGAAACCAGCTCTGGGACTGGAGCTAAATGATGCGCGGCATTGCGGAACCTGACGTTTTCGATCATCTGGTTTCATTTTCAAACAACGCCCCCATAACGTGGGGTATACGGATCGTATAGCCTTCGCCCATTTCGCTTTGCAATGGGATCAATGGGCCAAGGGGTTTGGAAAAAGTGGTGTTGTGGTGTTTGGGCGAGTCCTTTTCCTCCTTGTCGTTGGGCCTATGATTTGTTGATGACGTTTGTTTGCGCCAGGAACAGTCTTGATTGTCGCCCAACTATTGCTGGGGTGGTTTGTCTCCAAATTTCAAGGTGAACACAATTTTGATATAACAAAACGCAAACATCGCAACATCTGTGCCGCCGGATGTGGGGCAATCCGGGTTCTGGAAACTAACTGTGAACACAAATTGTTTGCTTCCATTGGGGAAAGGTAGCTTGAAGACGAGCCACTTGGGGGAATTTTGTTCCAGATTGGTTGTGATACAAGGGGAAAATCCAAAACAAATGATTGGAAACAGCCTCAGTAGCCAAAGCTTCCACAAAGCATCCCATTTGACTTTATCGAACGCCTTCGACAAATCCAAATTTATAATCGCTAACGGCATGTTAGCTTCAGCCGTTTCGTCCAATAACAAGTTAGCAACCAACAAACGTTCTTCAATACAATCAGACTTACCTCTGAAACCGGTTTCCGAAAACGCCTCGATGCGATCAAACAAAATCTACGCAATAGGCCGGAAGTCTGATGGTTGACTTGCCCGATTTTTTTGCGAACATCACAAAAAAAGTTGTTACATTGCAAGAACAAAGACATGCGCGCCCAACAACACGTCATTAAATAGCCTCAACAAGTGCATTCGAAAATCCGGCGGCGAATGCTTCAACAATTCAGCGGTGAGGCCAGTTTCATCCGTGCCTTTCCCTAATTTTAACTTATTGATTGCCGCATTCAGTTCCGGCATGGTGGAAGTTTCCTCATTCAAGACGACGGGCGGCACAATAGACGATGGAGAACCAGCAAAAATACATCCCAACATGTTTGCCCGCTTCATTGCATTCAAATCATTTGCAAGTGGTTGCTGCGGAACTTTCATGACAGGATACTTTTTGCAAATGTGTAGGCGAAGGTTTCCACACACGTGATTCGCCGCGGTGCCGTTGCAGCTGCGCAGTTTTCCACGCACCATGTTCTTTGCGGTGAAATTTCATGAAATTTCTGAACTTCGAAACTAACATTAAAGGACCAGATAACCCCACAAGTCAACTTCTTCCAATAATTAGAAACAAAAGTTGAAGCGGGACGGGGAAGGAAGGAAAAACAAAGGTGGTGGAGGATCGATAAATTAAAAAACAGTTGTATGTGGAAGAGATGTGTGTGTTTGTGTGTTAGAACGGTGTGATGTATGAGGGTGAAACAGTTGTGTGTGCAAGAGTTGTGTGTGAGGAAATTGTGAAGTAGTTGTGTATGAATGTGAACGAGTTGTGTGTGAGAAAGTTGCGTGTAAAAGTGTTGTGTGTGCAAGCGTTGCGTGTGCCAAAGTTGTGCGTCGAAAGCCAGTTTCCCAAACGACGCGGTGGAGAGCAGGGCGGGTTTCGACAGTCGCAAGGACGTGAATCTAGGCGCATTAGCCCTTGCTGTCATACTCGGTTGGAAATCGAGCGTCGGCCCCAAGCACACACAACCGCATCATCCCGAACCCCAGGCCAACGAGGAGACAGGCGACATCACGTCGGTTTGCTTGGTACAGGAACACAAAGCAAAACAAAAAACAAACCAGAATTGACAGGCACATGCGATTGCAGCAAGCCATGTCATGTGCTTTGGGAGCCTCCCGCTGGACGTTGCCCTCGCATGTTGCAGTTTGCTTCATGCGCGCCGACCAGCGGCATGTGCCCCGCAAGGCGCGTTAGCCCATTGCCCTTGCCACCATGCCCACTTAGCCCCCAAGCACACATGATCACAAAAAAAACATAGGAAGGCACTTGGCCGCAAAACAAATGTGGACACAAACAAAACAATGACAAAAAACGATGCAAGATAGGCGCAACATAGTTTGCAAAAAACCGAAGGTAGTTGCAAGAAAATCGAAAACAA